GTGTTTGATATAGTATCTCCGTGTCTACAGGGCGAGGCGGTTTTCTTGTTTGATATAGTATCCAGGTGTCTACAGGGTGAGGCGGTTTTCTTGTTTGATATGGTATCCACGTGTCTACAGGGTGAGGCGGTTTTCTTGTTTGATATGGTATCTCCGTGTCTACAGGGTGAGGCGGTTTTCTTGTCTGATATAGTATCCACGTGTCTACAGGGTGAGGCGGTTTTCTTGTTTGATATAGTATCCCCGTGTCTACAGGGTGAGGCGGTTTTCTTGTTTGATATGGTATCCACGTGTCTACAGGGCGAGGCGGTTTTCTTGTTTGATATAGTATCCCCGTGTCTACAGGGCGAGGCGGTTTTCTTGTTTGATATGGTATCCACGTGTCTACAGGGTGAGGCGGTTTCCTAGTTTGCTATTGTATCTGCTAGTATTCTGTGACGATATATTTGTATTCTGTAGTGGCAAACGTGACATTATTACATGATTAAAAAAATTGCCATCAATAAAATGTCTTACCTTTCTTATTGCACGGCATAGTGTTTTACGCAGATGTAACACTTGCTGTGTGTATGTTATTTTTGTCATGAACTGGTAATCAGCTGAGCGTACATTTGACCCATATCGTTCTATGATTCGGTTAAAAAGTACCTAATAATTAATAATACATCTATTTTAAAGACTTTGATGCAATGTTATATTTATCAGAAAATATAGATCCAAACATTAGTTGTTTTTTATCAGATATTATAGATTCAAATATCGAGATATTTTATCAGATATTATAGATTCAAATATCGAGTTATTTTATTAGATATTATAGATTCAAATATCGAGTTATTTTAGATGCTGAACATAAATCCCAACAATAAGTGATTCCTGTTGTATATGACACAACATGCAACACATTCACCACATCAATTCAATCGTGGCCAGTTTAAGTGTTAAGTAACAGTCAGTCAGTGTTCAGTAGCAGTCTGCATGTGTTCATTTCAGTGTTCAGTAGCAGTCTGTCGCTGTTCATTTCAGGGTTCAGTAGCAGTCTGCCAGTGTTCATTTCAGTGTTCAGTAGCCGATTGTCAGTGCTCAGTAGCAGCCTGTCACTGTTCATGTCAGTGTTCAGTAGCAGTCTGCTAGTGTTCAGTGGCAGTCTGTCAGTGTTCAGTAGCAGTCTGTCAGTGTTCAATAGCAGTCTGTCAGTGTTGAGAAGCAGTCTGTCACTGTTCATGTCAGTGTTCAGTAGCAGTCTGTCAGTGTTCAGTAGCAGTCTGCTAGTGTTCAGTAGCAGTCTGTCAGTGTTCAGTGGCAGTCTGTCAGTGTTCAGTAGCAGTCTGTCAGTGTTGAGAAGCAGTCTGTCACTGTTCATGTCAGTGTTCAGTAGCAGTCTGTCAGTGTTCAGTAGCAGTCTGTCAGTGTTCAGTGGCAGTCTGTCAGTGTTCAGTAGCAGTCTGTCAGTGTTCAGTAGCAGTCTGTTAGTGTTCAGTAGCAGTCTGTCAGTGTTCAGTAGCAGTCTGTCAGTGTTCAGTAGCAGTCTGTCAGTGTTCAGTAGCAGTCTGTCAGTGTTCAGTAGCAGTCTGTCAGTGTTCAGTAGCAGTCTGTCAGTGTTCATGTCAGTGTTCAGTAGCAGTCTGTCAGTGTTCAGTAGCAGTCTGTCAGTGTTCATGTCAGTGTTCAGTAGCAGTCTGTCAGTGTTCAGTAGCAGTCTGCTAGTGCTCAGTAGCAGTCTGTCAGTGTTCATTTCAGTGCTCAGTAGCAGTCTGTCAGTGTTCAGTAGCAGTCTGCTAGTGCTCAGTAGCAGTCTGTTAGTGTTCATTTCAGTGCTCAGTAGCAGTCTGTCAGTGTTCAGTAGCAGTCTGCTAGTGCTCAGTAGCAGTCTGTCAGTGTTCAGTAGCAGTCTGTCAGTGTTGAGAAGCAGCCAGTCACTGTTCATGTCAGTGTTCAGTAGCAGTCAGTCAGTGTTCATGTCAGTGTTCAGTAGCAATCTCTCAGTGTTCAGTAGCAGTCTGTCAGTGTTGAGTAACAGTCTGTCACTGTTCATGTCAGTGTTCAGTAGCAGTCTGTCAGTGTTCATGTCGCAGTCTGTCAGTGTTCAGTGGCAGTCTGTTAGTGTTCAGTAGCAGTCTGTCAGTGTTCAGTAGCAGTCTGTCAGTGTTGAGAAGCAGCCAGTCACTGTTCATGTCAGTGTTCAGTAGCAGTCAGTCAGTGTTCATGTCAGTGTTCAGTAGCAATCTCTCAGTGTTCAGTAGCAGTCTGTCAGTGTTGAGTAACAGTCTGTCACTGTTCATGTCAGTGTTCAGTAGCAGTCTGTCAGTGTTCATGTCAGTGTTCAGTAGCAGTCTGACATTGTTCAGTAGCAGTCTGTTAGTGTTCAGTAGCAGTCTGCAAGTGCTCAGTAGCAGTATGTCAGTGTTCAGTAGCAGTCTGGCAGTGTTCAGTAGCAGTCTGTTAGTGTTCAGTAGCAGTCAGTCAGTGTTCAGTAGCAGTCTGTCAGTCCTCAGTAGAAGTCTGTTAGTGTTCAGTAGCAGTCAGTCAGTGTTCAGTAGCACTCTGTCAGTGTTCATGTCAGTGTTCAGAAGCAGTCTGTCAGTGTTCAGTAGCAGTCTGGCAGTGTTCAGTAGCAGTCTGTTAGTGTTCAGTAGCAGTCAGTCAGTGTTCAGTAGCAGTCTGTCAGTCCTCAGTAGAAGTCTGTCAGTGTTCAGTAGCAGTCAGTCAGTGTTCAGTAGCACTCTGTCAGTGTTCATGTCAGTGTTCAGAAGCAGTCTGTCACTGTTCAGTAGCAGTCTGTCAGTGTTCAGTAGCAGTCTGTCAGTGTTCAGTAGCAGTCTGTCAGTGTTGAGTAACACTCTGTCACTGTTCATGTCAGTGTTCAGTAGCAGTCTGCTAGTTTTCAGTGGCAGTCTGTCACTGTTCAGTAGCAGTCTGTCAGTGTTGAGTAACAGTCTGTCACTGTTCATGTCAGTCTTCAGAAGCAGTCTGTCAGTGTTCATGTCAGTGTTCAGGGGCAGTCTGCTAGTTTTCAGTGGCAGTCTGTCAGTGTTCAGTAGCAGTCTGTCAGTGTTGAGTAACAGTCTGTCACTGTTCATGTCAGTGTTCAGAAGCAGTCTGTCAGTGTTGAGTAGCAGTGTAAGTCTGCTAGTGTTCTGTGTTCAGTAACAGTCAGTGTTCAGTAGCAGTCTGTCAGTCAGTGTCAAGCAGTGTTCAGTAGTTCTGTCAGTGTTCAGTAAGTAACAGTCTGTCAGTGTTCAGTCAGTGTCACAGTGTTCGTTTCATGTCAGTGTTCAGTAGCAGTCTGGCAGTCTGTGTTCAGTCTGTCAGTGTTCAAGAAGTGGCAGTCTGTGATTTACGATTCAGTGCAGCCTATTGAACTCTGTGTTTATAGTAAGGGGTATCTACCACTCAGTAGCATTCTCTCACCTGTCTGTCACTTTGTTAGTGTTCACAAGTGTTCGGTGTAGTCCAAAGTCAAAATCTGTTGGCCTAAGTAGCCACGTCTGTTGAAGTGTTCAAGAAACAGTAGCGTCTGCTAGCTATATTATTTATTTGGAAATTGCTCAGATGGAGTATTAGCGTCTATTGGAAAAGTGTTCCATAAGCAGTCTGTCAGTGTTGAGTAGCAGTCTGTCAGTGCTGAGTAGCAGTCTGTCAGTGTTCAGTAGCAGTCTGCTAGTGTTCACAGCAGTCTGCTAGTGTTGAAGCAGTGATTTGAATTTTTATTGCTGCAATATAAAAACAGTTTATTTTCATAAACATATCGGTTGAACCTTCCAATCTAGATGTCGGCATAATCATATTGAAAACATTAGGTTAGCTATTAGAAATAGCGACACTGTTGTATCATATATAAACCAAATAAACACAAATGTAAATAGAGAATACTATACGAGGTCTCAGTACATACGACTTATACGAATCGAGTGTCCTTCCTATGGTATCTGACCGAGCGAAAGCGAGGTCAGATCACATAGGAAGGTCACGAGTTTCGTATATTTCGTATGTAATGAGACCGAGTGTGGTATTTTATTTATTACCCACGTCTTACATGCATTTAAATTGACAAAATAGCGTATTTTTGTTATGATTTTGGTTTCAAACCGAAACCGGTTTCATAAAGAGGTTGCGGAAGAGTTTTGTACTGTAGTACAATATTTGCATGACGTCACACTAATGACGTCACTGCCATGGTAACCGACGTCACGATGCATGTCAGTTGTCATCGCCTCGTACAGCCTCCTACAGCAAACTACTCCGTTGCACCTCGTTTCTTGGTTTCCAGTTGCTTCATTCGGCTAACATCACTGGTGGAGCCATTGCGTTTATATTTTTCGACAGATATAATGTCTCAGTTCGACTCACAATTAAACAGCGACACGGCAACGTTCGCAATGTTTACATTCCCACAATGCATTTAAGTTGTAGAATGAATGAATTCACGTGTTTGTTATGAATGAAAAAATAGTTACGTCAGAATGTGACCTAATTGAGAGGTCATCGGTTATCCAATCAAATCGTTAGAATTTCAGGTCAAGTCGTTGATTTGTGAAGACACCTACACAGATTTTTTTATAATTACATGTTTGTATTCACAGACAGGGATGAATCATGCATGTTTATAGCACAGTTATTAAGAATTTCAAGAAGGAATAACAAAGTGAAATAATTATGTAGAAAAGGGTATAATTACATATAATCACCAGTACTACCTCTTTAGATGAGAAGCTTTAATAACACCTTGAATTAAGACATAAGACTTCCTTATATTTACCTGAATCTAGATTTGCACAACCCAAATGCCCTCTCCACTGAGTTTCTTGTAGCAGTGTGGCAGCGGTTATATTTCTCCTCTTTTTCATTTTCTGGATTGCTGACTGGAGTCAGGAGGTAGGGTCTACATGCATACCTATGGAAAATGTTTTGAAATGTTTAAATGTTAAGGGTAGAAATATGACATTTTTTGTTAATAAAAAGACAAAGGCTGACATGACATAACTTGAACATAGATATACCTACCCTGAATCACCAAGAAGCCAGATGCCATATTTCCCTTCCTGGAGACAGCATTTCAAATTGCAGTTATTAAATATATGGGAATCATGTGTTGATCCAGGCCATTGGACGATGATGTTCGTGAATCTGCAATTATAAATACATAGATAAAGTACTATGTTATTTAAGAGATCAATCTTTATAAAAATATTCAACACAACTCCACATTTACCACATGGCACAATGGCCTTACAGTTATATACATCAAGACAAATAAATAAATATTTTTAATATACCCAACAAATAAATAGATTTTTGAAGTAAACGTGCATTAGAAGGCAAACTTATTTGATAAAAAAGCCGATCAATGGGACAAACAAGCCTATATTAGCGATTTGAAAATCAAATACGACACAATGACATTTATTATTTGCAAGTCTCAGCAAGTCTAGATCGTTTGTTTACATTGCAAGGGTCAAGGACGTCAGGGATATTTACCGCAGTTGAGCGTCGCACACAGCTTGCACATTGATGGCATGGAATCCTTTCCTGCACACATATACTGCCTCATCCAATGGTGGCCGTTGAATCGGTATTAGAGTGCAATCTATGCAGCCAACAACTTTCGGAAAACCACAGATGTTGAAGAAATCCTCCGCAAGTTTTGCATGTTTGTCGGGCGATGGAAACCGGATCAGATCGTGCGAGTTGACAATTGCTTCCGTAGTGTCTTCCAACACGCGACTAACACTTGACTTGGCAATACCATGTATGTCTCCTAGTTCGCTGAGAAATCCACCTTTAGAATAATATCTAAGTGTTGCTAACACCTGAACATGGGCTGGTAGGGCACACGAACGCTTGGTCGGCCGAGTGATGGCCGAGCTGACCCGATCAACCAGCTGAAGGATGTTATGTCGAGGGAAACGATACCTGGCAATCAGTTCTGTGTCGGTCAGCGTGTCCAATATTTGGGTCCTATCTCTGAATATTCGCTCTCGCTTAATATTTCTCCTGTTCAAAATCTCTTGGATTCTCAGCAGTGTCGCCATATTAAACGCTGACTTACGATGTCGTAAGCTAGTTACAAGTGCCTCTTACCCATCGTATGCTAGGAGGTTGTTTATGATGTGGTGTAAAGTTAGGAGGTCTTTGTGGAACGATACAAAAAATTAAGAGCTGCTTTACGACGTGGTTTAGGACGTCGTAGCGCTAACAGGCTTTCGTGAAACGGCACCCAGGTCAACGCGATACGACACTCGTGTGACGTACGAGATTAATATGCAACTACCCATACGTTGACCACGTGGGTAATAAACCTAAATATTATTCATATGGAATAAAGAAGTTATATGTTTTGCACACAATATCAAGATATATGACGAATGCACTTAATTACGATTTATTTAGAATAAATATTTAAAATATGACGCATCATGTCAATGTGGCCATGGATGTGAGAATTCTTTTCATTACTTCCTTGAATGTCCATTGTATACTACTCAAAGACATACACTGTTACAATCTTTAGAAAGTATTGTTGAAATTAGAACAGTGATAGGTATTAATCGTATCTTACATGGCAATGCGGGTGTCTCATTTACTGCAAATCAGAATATTTTCAAATATGTACATATCTATATTATCTCTCTAACAAAAACGTTTACATATGCTATTATTGGGAGGGGTCTTTTGTATCAATAAACACAATCAAACCTCTCAGTGACAAACCTGTTTTTATATTTGATAGTAATTGATAGTAAAATCAATTTTGAGAAAAGAAATCATTTATCATTTATTCACAACAAAGTTCTATTTACCCACAATCAAACCTCTCAGTGACAAACCTGTTTTTATATTTGATAGTAATTGATAGTAAAATCAATTTTGAGAAAAGAAATCATTTATCATTTATTCACAACAAAGTTCTATCTACCCACAATCCAACTTCTCAGTAACGTACCTGTTTCAGGCTCACCCTGCTCTACTCACCAGACAGTGGACTGTTCCATTATACTCGTAGGTGTTACCCTAATTAACCTTCTAGTTCAGTGTCTGTCATTTGGGTGTCTGTCAAATGGGAGATAACCTCTGTCAGTACTCAGTACTAAAAATTTAATCTGTCGGCTCCCCGTGTTCGGCTACCCCTAGTACCGTTACCCGTATATGGCTCCCTGTGATCGTCTGCATACGGCTTACATACTATCAATAACCAACTCGACAGAACTGAAGAGAACGCATTCGTTTATTAGCATGTTTTCCCTGACATTACGTCCGCCGATGTGTCGTGCACAGATCAGTATTTGTTGTGGCAGCAGTTGGCCAGGATACGTCTCCCACCAAGTGCTTGTGTCGGACGCAGGTTGCCGTTGTCGGCGAGATATTTGCCTGGGAAACGCGTCTCCATGGCTCGGATGAGTGCCAGCTGAAACATTTTACGAATGGTGAAGAGAGGTACACCTCGATGGGAGGCGCGACTCCGTCACTGAAAAACTTGCACGCACGCCCCCCCCCCCCCCACACACACACACGCACGCACGCACACACACACATACACACGCACACGAGCGCTCGCAAGCACACACAATATCTCTATTTTTAAGATGACTCGCGGTTAGAACAATCGAAAAAAAATAAAATTATCAGACAATAAAGGTATAGTGTTTTGATGACGTAACATTTGAATGACGTTATCCCGTCACTGTGCCATTCTAGTGTGCCCCCTCGTAATCGAACCATTTTACATTACGTCACAATGTAAGCGACATTACGTTTATGTTTTCTGACGTTTAAAATGTCTCAATTCGACTCACAAGCGACACGGTAACGTTCGCAATGTTTACATTCCCACAATGCAATCGTGGAATGTCGCTTGACTACTCAGCTTCGTCTGGATGTACTGATCTAAATATACGTTGGTAGTAGAAATACGGCGTTCACATGGATTATGTTAATCACAGATGTAATTAAAATAATTTAGAGAAGATATTTAATCCGAACGTAAACCGTCATCAAACTGTTTATCATTTGTTTTTCTGGTAACGTTCGTCTTAACGTAGGGGGGCAGGTACATCAGTAGAACAGCGCGCCAGTTAGCCCTGTGCGAGGATTCTTAATTTAGGTCACCGACACCGTCGTTTGTTCTCTGCCTCACATTAATCGTAATGATCCTTAGAAAGTATTAAATTTGGCATCTTAGAAAAGAAACACAGTTCGCTCTACCACCATGTATAGTGTAATAAAACACACTTTCGCCCTGAACTATTATGACGTTAAAGCACTCGGACGCGAGTAGAAAAAGTAAATGATAAAAAATAATATTGAACCTATACTCACCTGTTTCAGGTTATCATCAGCGTCACATCTGTACTGACCTGTTTCAGGTTATCATCAGCGTCACATCTGTACTGACCTGTTTCAGGTTATCATCAGCGTCATATCTGTACTGACCTGTTTCAGGATATCATCAGTGTCACATCTGTACTGACCTGTTTCAGGTTATCATCAGCGTCATATCTGTACTGACCTACTTCAGGTTATCATCAGTGTCAGATCTGTCCTGACCTACTTCAGGTTATCATCAGCGTCACATCTGTACTGGCCTACTTCAGGTTATCATCAGTGTCACATCTGTACAGACCTGTTTTAGGTTATCACCAGTATCACATCTGTACAGACCTGTTTAAGGTTATCATCAGCGTCACATCTGTACTGACCAACTTCAGGTTATCATCAGCGTCACATCTGTACTGACCTGTTTCAGGCTATCATCAGCGTCACATCTGTACTGACCTACTTCAGGTTATCATCACTGTCACATCTGTACTGACCTACTTCAGGTTATCATCACTGTCACATCTGTACTGACCTACTTCAGGATATCATCAGTGTCACAACTGTACTGACCTACTTCAGGTTATCATCAGCGTCACATCTGTACTGACCTGCTTCAGGTTATCATCAGAGTCACATCTGTACTGACCTATGCAGGTTATCATCAGCGTCACATCTGTACTGACCTATTTCAGGTTATCATCACTGTCACATCTGTACGAACCTGTTTCAGGTTATCATCAGCGTCACATCTGTACTGACCTACTTCAGGTTATCATCAGCGTCACATCTGTACTGACCTGTTTCAGGTTATCATCAGCGTCACATCTGTACTGACCTACTTCAGGTTATCATCAGCGTCACATCTGTACTGACCTGTCTCAGGTTATCATTAGCGCCACATCTGTACTGACCTACTTCAGGATATCATCAGTGTCACAACTGTACTGACCTACTTCAGGTTATCATCAGCGTCACATCTGTACTGACCTGCTTCAGGTTATCATCAGAGTCACATCTGTACTGACCTACGTCAGGTTATCATCAGCGTCACATCTGTACTGACCTATTTCAGGTTATCATCACTGTCACATCTGTACGAACCTGTTTCAGGTTATCATCAGCGTCACATCTGTACTGACCTACTTCAGGTTATCATCAGCGTCACATCTGTACTGACCTGTTTCAGGTTATCATCAGCGTCACATCTGTACTGACCTACTTCAGGTTATCATCAGCGTCACATCTGTACTGATCTGTCTCAGGTTATCATTAGCGTCACATCTGTACTGACCTACTTCAGGTTATCATCAGCGTCACATCTGTACTGAACTACTTAAGGTTATCATCAGCGTCACATCTGTACTGACCTGCTTCAGGTTATCATCAGCGTCACATCTGTACTGACCTGTTTCAGGTTATCATCAGCGTCACATCTGTACTGACCTGTTTCAGGTTATCATCAGCGTCACATCTGTACTGACCTGCTTCAGGTTATCATCAGTGTCACATCTGTACTGACCTGTTTCAGGTTATCATCAGCGTCACATCTGTACTGACCTACTTCAGGTTATCATCAGTGTCACATCTGTACTGAACTACTTCAGGTTATCATCAGCGTCATATCTGTACTGACCTACTTCAGGTTATCATAAGCGTCACATCAGTACTGACCTGTTTCAGGTTATCATCAGTGTCATATCTGTACTGACCTACTTCAGGTTATCATCAGCGTCACATCTGTACTGACCTGTTTCAGGTTATCATCAGCGTCACATCTGTACTGACCTGTTTCAGGTTATCATCAGCGTCACATCTGTACTGAACTACTTCAGGTTATCATCAGTGTCACATCTGTACTGACCTGTTTAAGGTTATCATCAGCGTCACATCTATACTGACCTGTTTCAGGTTATCGTCAGCGTCACATCTGTACTGAAGTGTTTATGGTTATCATCAGCGTCACATCTGTACTGACCTGTTTCAGGTTATCATCAGTGTCACATCTGCACTGACCTGCTTCAGGATATCATCAGCGTTATATCTTTACTGACCTGTTTCAGGTTATCATCAGTGTCACATCTGTTCTGACCTGTTTAAGGTTATCATCAGCGTCACATCTGTACTGACCTGTTTCAGGATACCATCAGCGTCACATCTGTACTGACCTGTTTGAAGTTATCATCTGTGTCACATCTGTACTGACCTGTTTCAGGTTATCATCAGCGTCACAACTGTACTGACCTGTTTCAGGTTATCATCAGCGTCCCATCTGTACTGACCTGCTTCAGGATATCATCAGCGTCACATCTGTACTGACCTGTTTCAGGTTATCATCAGTGTCACAACTGTACTGAACTACTTCACTTTATTATCAGCGTCACATCTGTACTGACCTGTTTCAGGGTATCATCAGAGTCACATCTGTACTGACCTGTTTCAAGTTATCATCTGTGTCACATCTGTACAGACCTGTTTCAGGATATCATCAGCGTCACATCTGTACTGACCTGTCACATCTGCATGACCTGTTATCATGTTATCATCAGTGTCACATCTGTACAGACCTGTTTCAGGATATCATCAGCGTCACATCTGTACTGACCTACTTCAGGTTATCATCGGTGTCACATCTGTACAGACCTGTTTCAGGATATCATCAGCGTCACATCTGTACAGACCTGTTTCAGGATATCATCAGCGTCACATCTGTACTGACCTACTGCAGGTTATCATCAGTGTCACATCTGTACAGACCTGTTTCAGGATATCATCAGCGTCACATCTGTACTGACCTGTTTCAGGTTATCATCAGCGTCACATCTGTAATGACCAACTTCAGGTTATCATCAGTGTCACAACTGTACTGACCTACTTCATGTTATCATCAGCGTCACATCTCTACTGACCTGTTTCAGGATATCATCAGCGTCACATCTGTACTGAATCACTTCAGGTTATCATCAGCCTCACATCTGTACTGAATCACTTCAGGTTATCATCAGCGTCACATCTGAACTGACCTGTTTCAGTTTATCATCAGTGTCACATCTCTACTGACCTACTTCAGGATATCATCAGCCTCACATCTGTACTGAATCACTTCAGGTTATCATCAGCGTCACATCTGAACTGACCTGTTTCAGTTTATCATCAGTGTCACATCTGTACTGACCTGTTTCAGGTTATCATCAGCGTCACATCTGTACTGACCTGTTTCAGGTTATCATCAGTGTCACATCTGCACTGACCTGCTTCAGGATATCATCAGCGTCACATCTGTACTGACCTGTTTCAGGATATCATCAGCGTCACATCAGTACTGAATCACGTCAGGTTATCATCAGCCTCACATCTGTACTGAATCACTTCAGGTTATCATCAGCGTGACATCTGAACTGACCTGTTTCAGTTGATCATCAGTGTCACATCTCTACTGACCTACTTCAGGATATCATCAGCCTCACATCTGTACTGAATCACTTCAGGTTATAATCAGCGTCACATCTGAACTGACCTGTTTCAGGTTATCATCAGTGTCACATCTGTACTGACCTGTTTCAGGTTATCATCAGCGTCACATCTCTACTGACCTGTTTCAGGTTATCATCAGTGTCACATCTTTACTGACCTGTTTCAGGTTATCATCAGTGTCACATCTGTACTGACCTACTTCACTTTATTATCAGCGTCACATCTCTACTGACCTACTTCAGGATATCATCAGCCTCACATCTGTACTGAATCACTTCAGGTTATCATCAGCGTCACATCTGAACTGACCTGTTTCAGTTTATCATCAGTGTCACATCTGTACTGACCTGTTTCAGGTTATCATCAGCGTCACATCTGTACTGACCTGTTTCAGGTTATCATCAGTGTCACATGTGCACTGACCTGCTTCAGGATATCATCAGCGTCACATATTTACTGACCTGTTTCAGGATATCATCAGTGTCACATCTGTACTGACCAACTTCAGGTTATCATCAGTGTCACAACTGTACTGACCTACTTCATGTTGTCATCAGCGTCACATCTGTACTGACCTGTTTCAGGATATCATCAGCGTCACATCTGTACTGAATCACT